TAAATAATAAGTAAATGATACAATGAACGAATAACGTTTATTCTCAGTTTCGTTGTTACTAGCTGTAATCACTGTCGATTCCTGCGCTTTCCGCGAATCAAAATTACGTTATATCTCTACAGTAGAGGTATCATAGAAACGTAATTTTAATTATGCACTTTTATAAAGTATGAAATAAAAACAGAATGTTTATTGCTATAAAGATTGCACGATATTAGCTAAAGGCAATCTAAATAATTCGGTTTGTATGAGAAATGAAAGTCCAAGTTTTGCTGACCGGAAATAGATGGGTTTAGGATCGTCAAGAAATCGGGTTCTTTTACGTGCGACCATAAGTCGGAAAGGTACTGCCCGTTTCGCGTAAAATAAAATCGATTAACATCCGGTTATTATCATTTAAGAATAAATAATTCTCGGTGTAATTATATGGATTGAATTCTGTGTCATAAAATGCACCAATTATTATTGTCTGTAACGTAATTTATTTTAGTGCAATACTGTGTTGTTTACTTCTCCCTTTAATAAACATAGTTTTTTAAGAAACTCTATAATTTAGTCAAATATTATTCGATAAAAATTAGTAGATTTGCAAAAAGCGTGTAGTTTTTAATTAGAAGTTTTCTTTGATCGATTGTATAAAAATTTAGTTCTTGTAGGTTATGTCACGTTGAAATCAAGTTCCGTGATCGTGTGTTTTAGTAGAAAATGGCCAAGTCTAAGGAAAAGAAGGGAAAAAGTGCTATCAGCGAGGTTGTTACTCGCGAATACACCGTGAATCTTCACAAACGCCTTCATGGGGTCGGTTTTAAGAAACGGGCACCGAGGGCTATCAAAGAGATCCGCAAGTTTGCGGAAAAACAGATGGGAACCCCGGACGTAAGGATTGACACACGTCTCAACAAACAACTTTGGTCCAAAGGAATCAGGTAAATTAAATTCATTTTTTAAATATACATACTTCGAAGTATGTAGATGGATGTAGATACGGATTGGACAGATATTTATAATATACATTTATCGGAAAATAAATGTACATGTATTTCATATTTAAAGAATTTGTTCTAAAAAAAGACGAATTCTCATTTTCAGGAATGTACCATTCAGAGTTCGTGTGAGACTCAGCAGGAGAAGGAACGACGACGAAGACTCGGCTAACAAACTGTATACCCTTGTTACGTACATACCAGTTGCTACTTTCAAAGGATTACAGACAGAAAATGTCGATGCCAGTCAAGATTGATTTATTTCTAATTAATAAATAGGTTTCTCTATATTTCCTCCTGTATAATTAGTTCAACTTTTACGTTTCCCCTATCTACAGTATCCTTAAGACTGTAATATTAAACTATCAATCTATTCTAGCTTAACTGATGCTTGGAATTGCAAAATATTTTACTCGAAGGATTTAAATAAAAGAGGTATTAGTCTGTTATTGAATCGGGTGTCGATCATACAGATCATAAAGAAAAATTACTGATCTCTATAGAATGATAGATAGTAGATTGGCAAATTAAGAAACCCTAATTTAAATATGCACTTTTGTCTATCCTAATAGTGGTATTAAAAAATTTCGAAAAATGCTTCAAGTAAAAGTTTTAAGTACTGACGTTCTCTACAAGAAAGATTCTATGCATTTTTCTTCTAACTCCAGTACTTAACAAGTCACATACGATTAATCGAGATATATGAGCATGACGCGACAAACTGAACCACGAGAGTAGGGGATACGGGTTACTTAGCAACCGCGGCCTTGAGCGGAATGCGGAGGGGTTCACGTGTTCAAGGCCGTTTGAAGGCTGTCGCGACGATGGTGGGGCGTTGAACGATTGTCTCACCTATTATCTACTCCGTATGCAATGTTCTTTAGTATTATAAGTTAGATATCGATTCCCTAACTTCTATCATCTATACCGAAAGTTGATCATCCTTCACTACTTGAATGATATCTGCAAACTTTCTGTTATCTTCAAACTCTGTCATAACTAATGCTCACCACATCGTCCTCGACTTCCTATCACAATCAGTCGTTCCCAAAATACATACGGCCAAGCTTGATTCTTCAATAATTTTATTTTTCCTTTGCAATCCTTATATTACAAAACATACTTTTCCAGACACATTGAAAATATGCTCTATTTACAATCGGATTGTTGCCTAAGTTATGTTTTTGTGCTAAACCATATTCTTGTTGTCGCTGTTGCATTCTCATCCCCGGTTGTTCGTCTTTACAGGAATTCGAATAATTAATATACTCTATACTCGCGTAGGCTCTCGTATAATAAATGATTATGGCAGTACATTTACATTAAAGTCTATTCCTTCGTCTCGTTTACATTCAATTATCATCTCGCTCTTAATTCATATATATATATATATATATAGATCATTTTTTTGTCTCGGATATTTATATATTTATATAATTTTACCATATGAAAGTCTACGGTAGTTAGAATTATGTGCATCAACTAGGCGTACGAAAGGAATTCCTCTTGTCTATCGTTCCTTCATCGTTAATAAGCTTCACGTTCTTAATTTACGTGGCAAAATCGTTAATGCCACGATATGAGATCTAGGGAAAAGGAAACGAACATTCGAACGCGTCAGAGGAAATTAACGAACAAGAATTAATTAATTAATTAAACTAACTGCGCTAAAGCGACTTCTATGAAAAATTCATTTGCCGGGCAAAAACAGCCGGCAGCATCTCCCCGTTCACGCGATATGTACGAATCACAAAAAGCCGGCGAAAGCACGCTACTCGATTGGACCCCAGTTTACATCGTCCTTTTACAGAAATTAAATTTAACTGACGCCCCCCGTCTCTCACCCGTCTTCAATTTTTTGCATTTTTTCTTTTTCTATAATTTTTTTTTTTTATCCTTAACTTCGCCTAAAGATTCGCTACGAGTAAACTAAAACGTTACAAATGACTCTAGTATTGTCTAAAGGTGCTCATATATATATATTTATATATATACTTTTATTTTGTTGTCGTTATTTCATTCAATGTCCGCTAGTTTTCTCACATTCAGTCTAAGATTATATTTATAATATTTATAACGGCTTGGAATTATATTCTTAACGTAATACGAGCTAGCTGTTTTCTTCTTTTTAGTATTTCAATGCCAAACTGCTGCTATGTACAGGTTGCCATTTTTTATATTCCCGTACGACGTGCACGATAACGACGTATCCGGTTCCATCGTGCAATCCGATATACGCGTTGAACGATTTTAACGTTTCACCGAAAGAAATCGAATTTCTTCTGGCAGTAGATCGCGTTACCTCCGTGATGGATCGAGTAAACGATTTATGGATAGAACGTAACGGGGCATTTTCTAACGACTACGAACTGCCTCGACTATAAATCAGTTAAAATAGAAAACGAAGTATAATGATAACTAAATCTGAGTGTCTCGTATACTCGGAGAGAAAAACAGAAAAAACACGAACGAACTTACGAGCAATTAACAATTAAATGAATCATCTAGATTACAGTCTCTCTCTTCCCTAATCCTAAAACTGTTCACGCACTTCGTAAACTTAGCCGTATCGCTGACGGCAACGTTCCTCCAGCTACTTTAACAAATCCTCCTCTCGTTCATCTTCGTTTAAGACTAGTATCAAAAAATCTGTACGCTATTTCTCCGGGTTAGAAAAGTCTCGTCCCTAATCCTGCAGTTCATAAACAAGAATCGCGTACTCTTCTTAGCTAGTCCAGAAATGCGTATCAAAACATTTCTTCTCTCGCTTCAGCTCTAAATATTATAATCCTGATCTTAAGATAGAACAATGCACTTTTCTCAGTCGCTTCTAGTTATACTTTTACTGCTTCTACTTATAAAACGTATTACGAATTACAGTCCTGCCGCTCCAGCTGTGCCGACCTTAAACGGACTCGGCACGTACCTCTAGTCGGCTAGAGCTGATCAAGCAGCTTTCGTCATAGAATATCATTCTCGTCGAGCCTAGTCGTGAAACACGTATCAAGAGGTGCTGTTTCTATGCTTTTTGCTCTTAGCCCTCCCGGGCTCGAACTCGTCTTCGCTTCTCCGTCGCTTCTCCTTCAGTTGCTTCTCCATGGCCAACATGGTGATCATCCTCTTATGGGAATCACCGACGATCCAACCGTGTTGCTCCTGGCGGTCGTCCTCCTCTTCTTCCACCGCGGGCACCACTTCCATCATCTCCTCCTCGTCGCTAGAGCTGGACCAATAGTACAATTGATTAACGGCTGCCCTTTTGCGCCTGCCAATGGCCACGCCGACGCCTTCTTCGACTTTGTTCCAAGATTTCGTCGTTTTCAATTCTTCATCATCGGAATCACGCTTCGCGCTAGAGGATCTTCGCTCCTTATCCCTCGACCCTCTCGATTCCGCCTTGTGTCTCTTTTCGCCTGAATTTTTGCTCCTCTTAGTCACTGCTGTGATCTTCACCTCAGACTTTGGAATCTTTTTGGGTTTCATCGGGGATTTCGAATGCTTCTTCGGTTTAACAGAAGATTCTTGATTACTCTCGCTGTCGTGGTTGGTTTCCGTCAGCACGGATTTGTTACAATCATTTTCGAGATCGTTCATTTGTTCATCGTGCACTTCGTCTTTATTCTGTCTCCTTTGCTTATCTTTAGTTTGATGTTTCTTCTTCTGTGCCGGTTCCCTGTCCTCCTTCGTCTCCGCGTTCTCATATTCTTTTTGTTCGTCGCTTTCCTTCGCGAGAGATTCTTTCTTCTTCCCAACTTCCCTCAGGATCTCCTCTTCAATAGCCTTCTGCTCTTTCGCTATCATCTGCTCATGCTTCTTCTCTATGTACCTCTCTTTCCTCTTCTCCTTCGACTCCCTCTTCTGCTTCTTCGGCTTCTCATGATCGAATCGATCATTGCTCCTTCTCTCTCTCGGGCTAATCTCTTCGTCGGAGCTACTTATCTCTGCTAACAGTCCCTGCTTACCGATCGCGCATTTCCTCTGCCTTCTCGTGGGCTGGAGATCCATCAATATCCTCTCCTGCTCCTCCTGAAGTTTCTTCAGCTGCTCCTCTTTCCTCTTCTTCGACTCCTGCACTTTTCTACTCAAGAACACGTGCAGTGGCAAATTCTCAGACTCCTTCTGTGGTTTCTCATTGCTGGAGAGTTTCTCCGGCAAACTTAAGAGATCATTGTCAGGCTCTTCCTCTTGTTCTACAGGGCTAGGCGATTTTTCTATCGCCTCTTCGAACGTTTCCTTTTCAGGCTCCGCCGTTATCGTAGCGACGTTCTCAGGCTTGCTATAGTTCAACGACGTCTCGTTTTCAGCCCGGTCCAGCAGGTCCAAGGCCTCTTCCAATGGGATCAACTCGCTCTCGTATTCCGTTTTCTCGTCGCCCTTCTCCTGCGGTAAATTCGGACTCCTCGCGCTGGGCTCTTCCGGCATGCTTGGCTCCGCGGTTATCGGATCTTCCACGTCCGACTCGGAACTGTCTTCTCTGTATAAATCGTCCATTTCGAAGTTCCTCTCGTACTGGTTCTGAGTCTCGTCGTCGCTGTTCCTCTGGTCGTCGACGTCCTTCCTTTCATCGATCACCAGAGGATGATCCGACATCTCCGACTCGGATTTCTTGTTATCACAATCATGTCTCCCAGCATCTTTCAAATCTTCGCTTCTCCAGTCGTGGTTCTCGTTCTCGGATGAATACTTCACCAATTCTTGATTTTGCTCTGCATTCTCCACTCCTGCTGTCGTCTTCTTAGCGATCTTCTTCTTCCTCTGTCTTCTAGATTCTACATCTTCGTTCTCAAACTCGCTTTCGGACGAAGTGTACAGTTCCGCGAAAATATTTTGTTTCCCTTTAGAGCAAGTTCTCTGGCTCTTAGATATACCGACACCGACATCCTCGGTCTTCACGACAGTCCTGTATTCATCGGAGCTGTCGTTCTCGTACCAAGCATTTCTAGTCTTCTTCTTAGAATTCTTGCTTCGCTTCTTCAGCTTCGAAAACTTTAATGGCTCTATGATCTTCTTCCCTTTCGGTTGCTTTCTTTCCACGAACTCGTCCATCGGCCCGGTGACCCGCCTTTGCTGATCCTCGCTCTGGAAAGACTTCAACGCGCCCTTCGTCTTCGGAGCGAACTTCTCCAGCTCCTTAAACTTCCTGTCGATCATAGACTCCAGTCTGCTACTGAGAGGGTCGCTAGCTTTCCCGTTTTCCAAAGTATCTTCGATAGTCTTGGACATCAGACCAGCCATATCTACGTCTTTAGTTCTCAGACAAGTTACCTCGCATCCTGATTTACTCCTGTAAGACAACACGCTGCCCAGTTTAGGTTCAATCTGACTCTCTTCTTCGTCAAACTCGTAAACGTCTTTAATTCTGTCTAATTCTTCTTTCCTGTCGAAAACGCCGTCACGACGTTTCTTCTTCTCAGCTAAACCGCCGAGCTCGTTGCGTCGTATCAGAGGGAAGTCCTGATGTTTTTTGGTTTTCTTGGTCTTGCGTTGCCTGTGGACGTTCAGTTCTCGGAGGGCCGCCTCGGATTTCGATTTCTCCTGCTGTTTCCTGTCGTTCATCTCCTTCTTCCTTTCGAACAGTTCCTTGATCGGGTTCCTGGATTTTTTCTGAAGGTCTTTGGGCATTGTTATGGGACTCGGGACGAGAATCGTGTCTTTACTTAGAGACGCCTTGGCAGCTTGCGCCACGTCCTGGGATACCGGGTCCTCGACCGTGGAAGTCGGGGCCCGGGCACAAGCGAGCTCCGCGAGAACCTTCATCGGCGTTGATCCACTGGGAACAGAGTGATTTAATCAAATTTCGCGATCACACGATCAACAGGTGGTCCAATTAAAAATAGAACAACCGGTCAATGGAATAAAAATTCGTTTTCATGTACAATAAAGTACTTACATATGATCGTGTTTCTCGTTGCCGTGCAGCAAATTGGACAACGCCTTGTCCAGTAGACCTCCCAAGGAAGAGTTCATCTTGCCTTTCAATCCGGATGTATCCAGATTCCTCTGTTCCTGGAGATCCCTCACGTGCAATGCCTCGTTGTAGCCGCCGTTGGACATGTTCGCGCCGGATAAATGGCGCTGATCGTGCAGATACGAGTTTCTCAAGAGGTCCTGTTCGTGTTTCGACGGATGCTCGTTCCTCTGGCCGAAGGTGCTCGCTATGAGATTCTCGCTTTCGCGCATCCGTTGTTGGATCTTGTCCCTGAGTTTATTGTTGTGCTCGAACGCGACGTCCAGGCTGTCCTCGTAGCCCAGGTTGTCCGCCCTGGACGTGTCCGGGCTCGCAGACCTACTGGAGTGCTCGCTCCTCAGATTCCTACCGCCCCTCTTCGGATAATCCCTCTCCCTGCTGTACATCTCTTCGCCGAGTAACTGAAATCATTGAACAATAATTTGGTTTCCGCTCTTTTTCACATTCACGGTGGGTTTCATTCTCTGCACGGGGTGCACTGTACAGTAACGTATATAATAGGATCAACGAGGTATCTTTAAGGAGATTAATTATCTGCTTAAAACAGTTTATTTGTTTGCCAGAGGAGAATGCTATTAATTAATGGCCACTCATGCAGGGTGGTTCAAGATAATTTAATCTGACGATTAAGCACCGATAGAATTGTTTCAATAAAAAGCTTTGGCTGGGTATTGTTTTTCTGTGTAATGTTAGTACGAGAAGTGTTAGTAGAAACCAAGCTGGACATTCTTTAATTAGAAAGAAAAGGTCGAGCCTCGAGTTTTTAGACGTAAAAAATTGAATTCGTTTTATTGAAGGGACAGTAGATGTCGATTTCGAAAGGAGGAAAAGATTCGTAACTACTGTACACACTAAGAAATGTCGAAGGAATGAGAGAACTACCTTTTGCATGCATACTGAGAGACATTGTCTGTATAAAGCTGGTTCATAGGTCCTGCAAACATTACCACAATAATGTATAGAGTATTCCCTTCACGGAATTTCATGCAAGGGTGTAACCCACAGAGAATATCCGGTTTTTAATATGACAATAGAGAGTTTATTTAAATTATGCAAGACTGATACTTCGGGACACACCCTTACAAGTAAATATTCCGTTAGCATGTATAGAAAAGAACTGAAGATATGTAAATGCGAGCTTGAAAGCAGTTTTATCTTTTTAGCTGTAACACGCAATATAAGCCAAGTGCAGAAATAAAAATGAACGCATGCAAAATGTAGATGATCCCAATTTTACAAAAAGAATTGGAACGACACGTTTTTCAAATAACTGTTAACTTACCGTAAGATTCTGACAATAATATAATTTTGATGCACAAAAACCAAGCGTATTATGCTAATCATTGTACAAAAAGTGAGTGTTGGAGAGAAAAGTAAATCTGTTAATTTATTTGAGAGGATCGAAACGAGGAGCAAGTGATTCATTCAATTTTTTAGAACATTAAATTATGACGCCCCTTAAATAAATATTTTTACTATGAACTCTCAGGCGAACGAATTCAACGAACATGCGAGGAGGCTTCGTTTTAACATAATACTCACCTGATTCACGGATTCTAGTAGACTCCCAAGGCTGTTCTGGCTCTCGACGTCCCTCCATCGGTCTCTAGGTCCCCTGAACCCTTGCTGCTGCTGCTCATCTTTCCTGTGGTACCCTTCGCTATGGTCCAATTTGATTTTCTTAGCACCCCTTAACTCGTTCTCCGTCGTAGCTTTCAGTCTAGAGCAGCACTCAACGAACAGCTCTTCGTCAAAGTTCAGAACCTTGCCCTGTCTAGGCTTAGCAGTTCCTATCTCCTGTGGAACGTCCAAAGCGTTGTCCTCGATCGCGTCAGTAGGTGCGATGGTGACCACTTCACTTTTGTTAGTCGACGAGGGCGACCTGATCACGATCTTCTCCCCGGAGAACTCGCTGGAGCTTCTCTTCCGGAACGGAACTTCGCTGACAGTAATATTCTCGTCCTCTTCTTCGTTCTCACTATTGGTGCTGCTTCCTAAAGAACTCTTGGACGAACCACAGACAAACAAAGGAGACGTGTGTCCCATGTCTTCATCCTCGGCTTCGTCGATGTTCAAGTCTTTAGTACTTTGAGAGTGTCTGTCCATACTTGGCGATCTGTTTCCGATGCTAATCGAGCCTAAACTGCTGTAGCTTCGCGAGCAGTCCAGATCAACGGACAGTCCTTGCTCTTTTTCAGAAAGATCTTTAACGAAACTGTCCTCGTGGTCAGATTCTTCAGTATCCTTTATTCTCTTACCCGAATCCTTCCAATCGTCCTCGTCATTGTTGTCTTTACTCTTCCTCGAGCCTGACGACTTTCTCTTTTTGGTTCTCTGGTCATCTTCTGTACCAATCAGTTTCGATGAGTCCTCGTCGTAATTAAAGGATCCGTAGCCACTGTCTTTGGCCGCGTGCGGTTTCCCAGTCCATGGATCTACCTCAGCGAACCACATGGAGATCCTCTCTTCAGCCCTCTTTTTGCAAGGCCTCGAGGAACGCCGTTTATCTGAATCCGAAAGAAGGTAATATCCGTTAGAAGCGTCTGCGTCGTGCTTCTTTCGGTTGCTCGACTTGTGCTTGGAACGATGTTCTTCTTGGTACTCAGGAGCCGGGCTCTTCTCTTTGGTTCTATCCAAGGAAGAACTCTTTTTCTTCCTCCCTGGCCTCCCTCTCTTGGGAGTCGAAGATGCATTCCTATTGTTTCTATCCTCTGAGTATTCTTTAGTCTTCACGTCGTTCGAGTTCGAGGCTCTAAGTTCGCTCGAATCGTCTTCAGACTTGGATACCCAGTCGTTCAACACTTCCTTGACTTTGTCTGTCTTCTCGCTGCCAAACACTCTGCCAAACACGCTCTTCACTATCTTACTCTTGTTCTGAGATTCGTTCTGATCTTCGTTTTCACTGTCATCGCTGTCGCTTGTTAAATCAGCGATTTTGTTTCTGATAGTCTTCTTGCTTCTGGATTTTTTATCCTTGCTGGAATATTTACGACCCCTCGACACTTTTTTACTCGAACTCGTATTAGGTTTTCGCCTAATGCTGGTCTCTTTCACTTGTGTCTCGTCGGAAATAGTCTTCAACGATGGCAACACTTCGTTAGTCTCTGATTCCGATGAAACCTTCGACTCCTTATCAGAGGCTTCCATCGCTTTTGAAATTTCTTCGTCTCCCTCTTCGTTGCTCGCCAATTCTTTAGTCAATTCTTCATCAGGGTTCGAGTTATCAGTTGAATGATTCGTATCCAATTTTTCGTCATTTAATTCATTCACGATAGAATCAATGTTCTTTTCTTCCGGCTTCTCTTCAGGTTTTGGGTCCTCGTCGATTTGGATGTTCATGGGGGACTTCTGTTCCTTTTCTCTTTCCAATAATAATAATTGCGACAGTGGTTTGTCTGCTAAACTTGAAGACGATGAAACTTCGTCATCCTCCATAGAACAGAAATCTATTTTACTCTCCGATTCTTCCACAATTTTTTCTTCAGGCACCTGCTCCACCTGCTTCAGCTGTTCCGAAGGAATTTCCTCCAACGATTTTATAGCTTCCTCTTCTGCAATTTCTAAATCATCGGATTCTTGTACGATCTCTTTTTCCAATTCTTTTAGATTGGCTTCAATATAATTTGCCAAGGGTACGGTTGGTGTTTCCGGTGATTTTTCTTCTGTGACTTCAGGCTTCGCAGACTCATCGATCTGTGATTCAACCTGACTGTCTTTACATTTGGAGAAATTTATAGGAATGGTTTCCATTTCTTCAACGTGCTTCTTGCTTCTTCTCTCTCGTTTGGATTTCCCACTTCGCGTCGATTTCACGGTTTCATTCCGTTTATCTTCAATTTTATCGTCCACCGTGAGAACCTGCTGGTCTGGAGTGTCCGCCTTTACAGTTTCTTCTTTAAGACTTTGTTCTTTTGATTCGTTCAAATCTTGAACAGTTTCCCAATTTCTAGACTCGACTTGTCCATCGCAATTATCATTTTGATGTTCCTTCGTAAAAGTGCTTGAGTAATCTAATCTAAAACTGTTATTTATTTCGTCACTGCTTTCTTTACAAGGCTCTATGCTACGTTTATTTATAGTGAATTTTAAACTCAACCGTTCATGACGCGTTTCTTCGTCATTCTTCGTTTCTAAATTAAGAGAAGCTTCTTCAGTCTTTTCTTGACTGTCTAATTCCTTGTTTAAGACAGCTATTTCTAGGTCTTGTAATTTGGAAAATTTGTCTTCTAACTCAGTTTCGTTGGTCTTTAAAACCGCAGAGTCTATCAGAGTATCCTCCTTCATCAAATCCGACTGTGGCACGTCCAAATTCGGGATTTTTATATTCATATTTGGACTCAAAACGATGGGCTCGACGATGATCAACGGTGGATTCGGAATTTCCAATTCGGAACTTTCCAAACTGATCTCCTCGTCGATCAGACTCTTTTTATTTTCCTTCTTTTCATCAACCTTTTCCACCTTCTGAACTTCGATTTTAGGTGTCGATGTCGATTCAGGTTCAGGACTCACGTGATCAGTGAGAACGTAGTCATCGTGGCTCATGTTCTCAGTGATCTTGCAGATTTCTTCATCCAGCAATTGATCTTCAAGTGTAAGTTGCCGATTACTCTGAGAATTTTCCATGGAATCCTGTACCAATGAATCGTCGTAGCAGGGATCATCGTGTACAGACTCTTCATTAATTATACACGCTGAAGGGTCAGCATCCTCCGTCTTATTTTTGGATTCCAAGGATACGTTCATCGATTCGTCAGGATTTGGATTTTCATCATTGGAAATATCGATTTGATTGATATTACAATCGTCTACGAACGTTTCGTCTTTCTTAGAGTTGGCCATTTGAACCAAATGCGACTGGGACTGGTTGTGTTTCTTCAGCGAGCTCTTCCTAGTGAAACTGGTAGCACAGACTTGACAGAAGAATCGCGCAGCTTCCTTCGTCAGCTTCTTCTTCTTCTCCACGATGAGAATCTCTCCGGTCTTCTTATGAACCACCACGTAATTGCCTGCTGCCCGCTTCTTCGGAGTCTGAAACTCGCCCTGAGTTTGTGAAAGGTTTTCCAACTTGGAGCTCGTGCTATCTTCATTGTTTGACTCTTCTCCTTCGTCATCTTCATTTTCGTCGACGGGTTTCTCTTTCGAACTTTCGACCGACTCTTTATCTTCCTTCGTTTTGTTTTCAGTCTCCTCGGGCTTGTCCGGAGTGGACAGTTCAGCCAGTTTCAACTCGTCATCGTTTGCCCAGCCTTCCTGTTGCAGAACGAAATCGCCGTAGAAAATATCCCTCTTCTTTCTTCTACTCCTTCGCGTTTCTTCTTGTTCTTGCAGCGAGCAAAGCTTATCATCCGGCAATTCGTCATTGCAAAATGCGTCGAACTTCTTCCTAATGCTTCGTCGCTTCTCCGCGTTTTCCACCTTCGAGCTCGTGCCATCTTCATTGTTCGACTCTTCCTCTTCGTCCTCTTCATTTTCATCTTCGACGGGTTTCTCTTTCGAATCTTCGACCGACTCTTTATCTTCTTTCGTTTTCTCTTCTTCTTCCTTGTTCGGAGTGGAACGTTCGACCAGTTTCAATTCGTCATCATTGACCCAGGCTTCCTGTTGCAGAACCAAATCACCATAGAAAACGTCCCTCCTCCTCCTTCTACTCCTTCGCGTTTCCTCTTGCTCTTGGAGCGAACAAAACTTATCATCCAGCAAGTCGTCATTATAGAAAGCGTCGAACTTTCTCCTAATACTTCGTCGCCTCTTCTCCGCATTTTCTGGCTTCGAGTGAGTCTCGATAACGGATCCGCAGCTGTCAGACTTTCTCTTGATGCTCTGCTGTTTGTCATCGTCCTGTTCTGTGGTGGCCGATTCCGAGTCTTCGTTCCCTTCAGTCTCGCGCAAAGGTTTCCTCTTCTTGGAGAAGCGTTTCGTCCTGAAGTAGCTGGACTCGCTGATGCAGGAACTCTCTGATAAGTTATCTACGCTCTCAGCTCTTTGAGCCGCGAGATCCTCGGAAGAGAGCTGCTTCTTATTCAGCGGCACCGTCGCGCTCTGATGAGTCAGATCCAACGATGCAGATGAGCTTGATCTTGACAGATCATTTCCAGAATCCTTCTGGATCTCAGGTGGTTCTTCCTTCTCCTTATCTTCTGGACACTCGGGAGCAGTCGCTTGAGATTCCACGGAAGATGAATTGTTTTGCGTGTCGGGATGCTCGTCAGCGTTCGACTTCCTCTTGTGCGTTCGTTTCTTCGTGAGCTGCAGAACTTCTGTTACCTCCGGAACCTTAAACGGTTCCAAAGTAGAACCGGTGATCAGATCATTAGAGTTCTTGTTTTGCTGTTCAGTCTCATCGATCGCTTTACTTGTTCTTAAAGATCTTCTTGGTGGAAGTTGGGAATCAGCTATTTTAGAATCGGAATTATCTTGAGAAATAGCCTGTATCATTTCGGATTTCTTCTTTCTACCACGCTTCTTAGGCACTTTCGGAACAACTGGAGCATCTTCAGGCTTCTCAGGTTCTTTTATTTCGTTCGTCGAGGAATTCTGAACGAGTTCTTCTTTGTTCTCCAATATAGAATTTTCTTTTGATTTCTCTGGAAGTGCTGCTGGATCGTCAGTAGGTTTTTCATTTAATAACGTTTCATCTTGCGTTTGAATTGAAGAATCCTTTTCTCCGTCGTTCACGGTCTCTTCTTTACTTTCAATTTCCACAGCTGTTTTCTGCGGATCTTCATCCTTCGTTTCTTCTTCAGGTTCCAACGGCTTCGACTCGTCGCTATCGCTGATCCATCCCTCCTCTTGGGGAAAATCGCCACCGTGGCTGACGTTCCGCGATCTCCTCGAACTCCGTCGTCTTTTATCATTCTGCTCCTTTGATAACCGATCTTCGGTTGGAATGGAAGTAAGGTCATTCTCAATTTCTTTTTTCTCTTCATTTCTCACTTGGAATCTTGAAGATCTTCTTCTCGACCCTTTAGCTTCTTCGACAGACGACTCCTTCGCATCAGGCTCCTTTGAAATTGCTCCTTCTTTCGTCGATTGACCTGTTTTTTCCTCTGCGATCGATTTTCTTTTCGATCTTCGTACAGATTCAACTTCCTGGTCCAAATTTTCGATAGACTTCCTCTTCCCACTTAGTGTCCTCGAAACTGTTTGCTTCTCTTCCGCGTTTCCTTGGATGTCTTGATTCTCATCTTTCTTTTTATCTTCGTTGACAGAGTTTGGTTGTTCGAGATTCTCTTGGGAGTCAGTTTTCGGTTTTACACTCGAATCTTCTTGGACATCGACGACAACCTTGTTCTTCGCTTCCTCTTCACTTTTCTCCGCGCTAACTTCAGGCGACAAACTGTTTTCATTGATAGAAGGCACTTTCTTTGATTTCTCTATTAGATTAACTTCCGTGGCTGTATTCGCCTCGCAGTCGACAGGTTTTCTTTTTCCAGACTTCGGCGAGCTTCCTTCCAGCGATCGTTTCTTGGACCTTCTCTTCACTCTCGTCTCTTGGTCCTTGTTCACCGATTCTTCTTCTATACATTCAGAAAAATTCTTTCCTGGAGGCTCTGCCACGTTTTCCGGGACAGACGCAGCTTCCGTAGAAGCAACTTCTTCGTGGTTCTTCAAATTATCAGTTTCTGTTTGAGTTTCTAAGGAAGTTTCAACGACGATTGGTAATTTGGTATCCTCGTTAGTTTTACTGGAAGAGTCCTCTTTCACATTTTCAACGTTTTCTTCTTTTTGATCAGAACTGTTGTCCAACATTTCCTTAGGTGCTTCTGTCTCCTTCAAGATTAACTTCTGATCAATTTTACTTCTTTCGTTTTCCTTAACAGTTTCCTGGCTACAGTCTTGAATCTGCTCAGGAATATTATTCTTCGTTTCATCTGAATTCTCGGTTTGTTCCGTCAAGCCGGGACCAACTTCGTCTAAAATACTCGTGAGTTCATCAGCTGCCGTGTCTAACAGAGAGCCTACTTCACCTTCCAATAACGCATCCTTTTGTTTGGCGATTTTCGAAACGATCTTCTCCAGAAACGACCCCTTCCCTTTCTGCTTTCTCCTAGACAAATCTAGGATGATGTCGTTAGCCGGAGATTGTTCTTTGGTGATTTTAGGAGAGGAGTCAACCCTCTGACATTTTTCTACAGGATTCTCGACGTTCGGTTCCTTGGTGGAAACCTCTGGTACTTCCGGTTGCCGTGAATCCTCTTCGGGAACCTTTTGAACACAATCGGCTTCCTTGACCAACTCGTCGAATTCATTCGTCGCCTCCAAGACGTTACTTTCCGGAGACTTAACGCTTTTACCCGTATTTTGAGATTTACTGTTGCTGTCGTCAGGTTGCTGAAGAGACTCAGCGGGAGTCACGTTCTCCAAGCTCGTTTGGACCGCCAGTACACTCTGTTGAGTCTCGATCGGAATATTCTTGCCCTCGGTGAGGATGCCGATCACGTTGTTCAACGATCTCTTGGGCGCTTTCTCTTTTCGAGATCCCCAGGACTTTCGAGGTCTGCCGACCCTACCTTTCTGAACAGGTGCAGGAGTGTCCAGTGAATTTTCCTTGCCACTGTCCATGGAATTACCTGTTTCCGTTTGAAGATTAGCCAGACTCGCGTTGCTCCTCGGAGGATCGAAGATCTTCGACTCTTCAGACTTGTCGGTTTTCTCTTGCTTATCTTCGATTTTCGGTAATGCATCTTTCTCATTAGAATTTCCATTGTCGACGCAATCAATGGAACTCTTATCAGTCTCTTCGTTCTTCGTCTCGTGTTTCTTGTCAACGTCGTTACTAAATTTAATTCGACCTCGTCTCTTCCCAATGGTATTCTTCTTCAGAGACAACTCGGTAGGTTCGCTCTGAGCTTCTTCAGTGGAATTCGGCAACGAGCCTCTGGTTTGCCTCTTATCGACCGTCACATCTGCTTCTGGCTTAGCTTGACTATCAGTAGATAACTGATTGGAGTTCGAAGCAGATTTGTTGTCGTTGGACAGGCTGCTGCTCCTGCGTTTCCTAGTCGCGGCCTTCACCTCGTTCGCACCGTCCTTCGTCTTGTTCGGTTCTTCCGGTACAGTTTTTTCACTTCTCGCTGAAAATCTCTTATCAGTTTTCCTCAACGATTTCCTCCTAGCGTCGAACTTCTCTTTCTTCGTGGACGCGTCGGACGTCGAGCCAGAATCGATTTTCATCTTCTCCGATACCCTCGCCCTCTCCTCAGGTCTGTACTTAGACATCGGCTGCCTGAGACATCTTTTCGACGTGGCAACTCTGGAACTCAACACCAAAGTTGTCATCAGATCTTCCTTGCTGTCCGATCCAATTAATTTCTTCACTTCGAACGGGACATTCTCGATCTTTATATCATCCTCGCTCTTCACATTGCTCAATCTTGATCTGCTCCTCGTCTCCAATTTCCCTTTATCCTTCTTCGCGTCCTCGGCGTTCTTCTTATTTTCTTCGATCCTTCCAGGCGCGCTCTTCCTCTTCAATTTTTCCTTAATGGCAACCTCTCCGCTCTTCTCTTTCGGTCTTCTACCTTTACCCTGTTTCTGTTCTTTGTCCTCTTCCTGTACGCTGTTCCATTCTGTCCCTTCGCTTTCGTCCTTCTCAGGAGTGTCGAGGTTCAAGCATCTGCTGACCGTGCTCCTGCCGCGAGGAGCCTTTACCGAATTGGTCACCGGAGACAGGATGGGCAAATCGTTGGCGGGCGTCTCGCTAGCTTCAACGGTGGAAGCCTGAACGGCAGGTTCCAGCGTCGGCATTTTGTCACTGTCGGAGGACAGTCTAGTAGTCCGTTTAGGCAACTGATCGCCGTTCTTCAGCCTGGACGAAGTAGCCCTCAGCTTGGATCTGATCACCGACGACTCTGGACCAGCTTCGCTCTTCCCTTTAACCACCGGCTGTGGAGACTTGATCTCCGGCGACTTCTGAGGAGACGGTGAATCCTTGTTCGGGTCTCTGGCGAATTTCCCGTCGTGGGTCCTCGGCTGTGACTTCGCCTTGATCGACGCGTTCAACGAAGCCACCGGATCGACCGGTCGTTTCTTCCTAGGCGTAGTCTGCATAAGTAATTTATTTCTCACAGTTTGATTAGACGGCTTAGCTTCCTGTACTCTTGCCTCCTTCTCGTCCTTAGGAGACCATTTAGCCTTGGCAGATTCGCTAGAATCCCCGCTCGCCTCCAACGTGTTTTTCAACGTTTTAATCTTAGCCTTAAGTGCACCCGGTTTCTTCCCTTGATCCAAGCTTTTAACAGCGTTCTCTTTTGTCTTCACGTTTCTCTTCTTGCCCAATACCCTGGGTCCTCTGCTCTTCGCTCTTTTCTCATCCCCGTTCGCAGAGGCGGCCGCTTCGTCGGACTTCTCTTTGGTATCTTTCTCTAGGTCGTTCCTCTCGGGGTTCACGTCGCCAGGCGTCTTCTCATCGGCCGCGTAGTTCATCACGACGCTCTCGATCACCGCCGATATGTTGTCGATCCGGCAACGATGCCGCTGGATTGACTTGGCGTTCTTCAGCAACTTGTTCCTCAGAACGGCCTTGTTCCGGGACATACGCGAGGCGCTGGAATTGTCGCCCACCACCATTCGCCTCGTTCTGGTTTGCACCTGTGTACAGGCAAACGCTTCGTGGTACTCTCGTGTGCCCGCAAGCTCGGGCATCATCTCGTTCCCTCGCCACAATCATCGCGCGATTGCGTAAGCAAATCTAACACGGTTTCCGTCGTTACAACGTTCGGAATTAACTCTGGCAATTGTCTTTATTCTACGAAGTGACTCAGGATTTTCATTAATTAATTATATATTCCCGTGAAACGCGCTAATGCTCTTAGGTCTCTAAAATCGGGGTCGCGTACCGGCAATAACGAAATCAGAATGAGCGTCCGTCCCGTTTGGAAAAAAAAGTATTACTTAGGGCAGGGAGGGAACAACACGAGGCAACCGTCTTGCCCGCGCGGACTACGTGGCGTACACCGTTTCTATGTGCCGCGTCCATCGTACGTGTGTGTGCACGTGCGGACAGCCAGTGTTGAGTAATCAATACTCCACTTATATCCGTGTCGTCCAGCCGGAGCCGAGCAAAGCCGGTCGGGTCCGCGTTATTGCCTTATCATTATCGAGCCTCATATTTTTCGTCCACCAGGATTCGGGTCATCCTCTGTTTACGAGTCTCGTTTACCTAATTTAGACTCGGCACGCGATTTTTGGGTCACTCTTGCCAGTTTGGCACTATCGTGCCTCGAATGAAAATTCTTCGACTTTTTTACAATTCTGTTATTGGGTCACGAATTTTAATTCTATTAAGCCAGTTCGATTTTGTCTAGTAATCACGGGGAATCCTTCGGCTATTTTCTAAATTCGAGTAGCTCGTCTAAAAATTCCTTTTTTATACCGTTCAATATTTATAAACATTGAATCCCACCCAGTATTAAGCAACACGTTCATGTTATTTAAACATTTAAACACAGTAACACGAAAACTGAACAGGTAACCAAGGAGCTGAAAGGATCGTTCAAATATTTATCACTTACGTTGCGAAGTCTACCCTGTGTCCTCATCGTGCTCTCCTGCAACACCTTCCTCGTAGCCCTTTTGGGAGGCAGGTTCGCCAGCATCTTCTGGATACTCTCTCCTGTGAACATGGAAAGTACACACGATGTCAGAAGTTTAAGAAGAAACAATCCTTTTACGAGAACTCCATTAAACTCATTGATAATTCAACAATGCAGTTGGCTTCGGCAAATAGCGTCGTTAATAATTCATCGATTACATATTCACTCGTCATTAAAATTATTCATGCGCAGAAAAAAAATTACTCATATGTTGTACGTCTAATTAAAAAAAAAATTAAATCTCTATTCAGATTCCTTTTATTTTTTGTACTCTCCGGAGAACAAATCTGTAGCGTAGTAACTCTACTTATTTGAACTTATTAACAATAACACCATTTGGCTCCCCATATATGTATTTAAATAATAAACTTATGAGCGAAACTTGACAACTGTTACTACGATTTCATTACTTTCTAGTTCTCAATTTGACAAAAATATAATTGTTTTATTTAAATTTAGTTGAATATTGTTTATAATTATGATGATAATAAGTAAATGGGGAACTTGACGTCTTTCGTTGATTTCACAACTTTCAGGTGCTTCTTTTCACAAGGCTATAATATTTATTATATTATTGCTACTTAAAATTATGAACGAAAGCAATGTAAGAAGGATTTCGTTGGAATAGGAACCAGACATTTCAAACTTGCCCATTTCTTTACCGTTTCATGAAAGGGTTAATTTTTTGGGGGATTAACAATATACTGAAGTGAGATCGAAGCAGGTGCCGTTTTTCACTATTTATGCGCACGTGGTTTTTTTCGAGGCTGCGTTAATATTAATCAAGGCGCGATTAACAAGTTCGAAGTTATGATAATCCCGGCGCGGCGGTCGTAATTATTGCAAAGGGAAGTTACGGTATAAGTGATTCGACCGAATCAAACAAAGTTTTAATTAGTGCAGTAATTAAACTCGTAGGGCGTTAATAAATTCACGGGACCTTGTAGACTGTTTATTTTCGTGCACGGTGAAATTTTGCGAAATGGAATTAGTGAGAGAAACTCACTGTCGCTGGGCCTGACCCTGGGCCCCGTCGGCTGTTTCTCTTTAGGTTGATTCACCCTGGGAGTCTGCGAGTTCTGAATGTTCCTCTTCATCCCCCGCTGCCTGCGTCGCCTGCTACGGCTGCCGAACGGCCTCCACTTGCACTTTTTCTTCCCGTTACCGAACAACCCTAACAGCCACGCCTGGTCACCCCCGCACTCTAACATATGCCTGTGCAACTCCGGTAGAGTGGTACAGTTCTTGGAACACTTGGTGCACACCTTCTCCGCCAGGTTGGCCGCTCTCGCCTTAGCCGTGGCCACGTCCTTTCCCGGCAGGAACAGGTGCTTGTACAACTCCCTCTGATCGCCCGAGAACTCGAAATGCGAACACCAGACGTTCGGGTGCGAAGCCGCCTTATGGTCCTCCATTTCTTTCAGCGTCACCTGCGTCAAACAACGTCGGTCCGATTAACGTCGGTTTAATTAACGCGTATAATATTAGCGCTATTGAACCGGTGGTATCGCGGACAGATCGATAGAGACTCGTTCGGACAGCTAATTGTCAATCAACATCGAGATAAGTCCTTTCGACCGGCCCGCAATCCGATCGATAGTTACCAATCGAGTGGCTAATTAATTAGCCGATCGGTTATATGTGTGCCGCGTTTCATCGGATCAGACAGTGGATTCTTTTCCTGTCTAACTGTTGCTCAGGCGTTTATTTAGAATTCACCAATTTCCGAACGACTCGTTCAAGAGTTTGCCGATCGGGCAAGTGTCAAAGGTCGAATAAAACGATAAACTCTATCGTCTCGTTAAACAGTGTTACTACACCGAAGCCGGAGGAATAACAAACATCAATCACCTTTATCGAACGTCCCACTGTTCTAAAATTAATCCGTCGGTCTACGACTCGGAATCGCGGGCCGAAAATAACCGACTTAACCATTTATTGGCCGAATAACCGACCTGAAATAGCCCCGAATCCATTCACCCACGTTTCTCACCGTTCTCCGATACTCACATGCTTCGATGCACACGCGCCGCAGACGTAGATCCTCGGCCTGGACCACTCGCCGGTCAGCTCCGCGTAGACGACCTCCTGTTTCCTGCTCGCCTCCGTGGTCATCTTCTCGTCCCACTTCCTCAGCCTCAGGAAATTACCGAACTCCATGGTGAACTCGGTGGCATCGCTGCTGTCTTCTATCTGCGACATCTCGTCCACGTCCGGACTGGTAGTCTCGGACGATGTCTGCTCCGGCTCGCTCTGATTCTCCTGGATCTCCGTGGTCTCGGATGGTCCCAAGATCGGGATCTGGTGCAACCTGTTCAGACCGAGCCTCTCTTTCAACACCTGCTGCTTCTTCCGTATAGACAACTGCGTTGAAATGTCGAATTTGCTCAGGTCCTTTATGGAACAAGTCCACTGTTCCTTGCCGTCGTACTTCCGCGGGAAGTTGTACTTTTCAAAGGACACTCTCCTCGGATGGGACCTGCAACTCTTCCCAGGCTTCTGGGCGTATTCACTGTTGTTCTCATACTCTTCGGCGTACTCTTTGGAGTAGACCGGCGTGGCAGCTGTTAATGAAATGTCGATAGACTGGATCGCGTTGTGCTCGTAGAAAGACTGTTGCGGCTGTTGCTGCTGCGATTTCGTGTCTACCATGGAAGTGACCGTCGACGAGCTTTGAAGTTTCCCGTCCAAATGGTGGAGGAGGTTCTCGCGGATGTTGCAGCTAACGCTGCTGTAGAAGGAACTGTCGAACTCCGGACTGCCCGGGTTGCTGAAGTTGTCTTTGATCTGGAGCACGGGTTTCAGCAACGTGGACTCGGCTCGATGCTCGAGGTCGGACTCCTTGGGACTTTGGTTGCCTGGTTCCTTGCACGACGAGGGTTCCTTCTTCTCTTGAACCCTCTCCGCACTGGCGCTATGAGTCTCGTTCACGTGAACCGTCAGAGCCTCTCTGGTGAGGTACCTGGTGGAACACTGCAGACAGCCGTGGTACTTGTCGCTGTGGCTGCCGACCATGTGCTGGAACAGGCTCTCCAAACTCTCCGTGCATTTGTCCGAGCAGTACTGACAATTCTGCGAAGGTTTCCTCGAGTTTCTTTCCGACCTCCTGCCGCCGCCTTGCTGATGGACCCTCTCGGTGTGCCGCTGCCTGAGAGATATCGACATGAACTTCCGATCGCAGTAAAGGCACAGGTGCCTGACTGTAGGAGAAGGCGGCTTGCTGGGAGACTTGGAGCCCTGAGAAGACGAAGGCGACTGAGGAGGAGGAGGAGGAGCGGCGGTGGTCTCGCTCGTTTGACAATTTTGTAACACGGACGCTACTTTGTCTAAAGGTAGACTGCAATGCAGACTCGTCGTGGAGATCTGATCCTGACTCCGAGATTCCTCCGTGGAACCGTCCGAGGTCTCTTCTTTTTCTTGTTTACTCTCGTCGATCAGCTGATTGATACCGTTCAACAAATCGTTCAACAAGTCTCTACAGATGTTTCTCAGTTCCACATTTTCGAACTCCCTGTCCTCCTTACCAGGATCCACGTTCGCCTTCTCCTCGGTCTGGTTCTCGCTCAGCCTCTCCATAATGATCGTCCCCAGGGAACGATTCTCCTTCTTCTCATCTTCCTGACCGTCGTCCCTCGCCTCCTGTTCCTCGGATTTAGTTTCTTTGGAAGAACACTTAACGCGAGCCTTGTCCTCTTCTACCTTCAAGGACTCTTTCTCTTTACTAACACCGTCCATCGCAGCGTCCTTCGCGCAGCAAGACTCTTCGTTCCTTAACGAGACTTCGGACCTGGCCTCGACTTTCTGTTGCTCCGAGCAGGCTTCCATCCCGTCCGGTTTATCGGACTGCGTAGACAGGAAGACTGCAGCCTCAGTTCTACTCTCGTTCGGCTTTGAAGGCTCGAACTTCGCAGCCGGACCCTTCGAGTCCTCGTCCTCTTGGTCCTCCGGTTGCTGCTTCTCAGCCTCTTTACCCTTCTCGGCCTCAGTTTTCCTGTTGCCCTCCTCCTCCGCCTCCTCCTCGTCCTTTATCACACCGTTCAGCACCGTCATCACGTACTTCTCCAGGGTCTCAAGGTTTCTCTCCACGCTGTTCCTCCCGTCTTCCTCCTTCCTCGGGGAGTCACCGCTTCTGGAGTCAGGGACCTTCTTCCGCAGGTTGTTTATCACGTTGCTCAACCTGCTCCTCTTGTCCTGAGCAGTTTGCGCTGACCTATAAGCGTGACCGTGCTGCTGCTGACGGTCGCTGCTCACGCTGGCCGGGTGGCTGACGCCCAGGTCGTCGAGATTATGCGTCGAAGCGACCATCCTGGCGTCGACGCTCGATGACGACGTCGATGGGACGAACTTCGACGCCTCGCTGCTCGTCTTGCTACCAGCCACGTCCACGGATGCTGCTTCTGTAAAAATAAAATTCTCGTTTCAACGATCAGCGACTCTTTGTAACACGAATTGTAAACGGTTTCATCTCCGATGTTCGAGGGAATATTTTTCTATCGCCGCGGATCCCGATTGTTGTTTGGATCAATTTGCGTAGGGACGTCGTGTCGAACGCGACCGGACGTTCGGCACAGAATCCGTAGGATTGCATATGCAACGGACGGAACTAAAATACCCGGGCGACGGTATGCATCTAGCGACTGAGATACGCGGCCTACGCGAACGGAAGTGGAAGAAAAAAACTGGCCCGCGTTATATGTATGAGCGTCGGACAGATCAATAATTCCGAGGCGGTAAACGCTGAACATCTGATCAGCTTGTTTGATTTTTAGAAATTGGTACAGCTCGGAGCAGCTATCGGCGCCGGGGCCAACAGGTTTTTCTAAATATTTGCGGGATCAACTCCTATTAATACGAAGCCTCTTAGCAAAGGAAACAATTTTACAAGGGAATGATGCTGGTAATAAGTTCGCCGGTCCTCGTTTAATATCCTGTGTAGGGGTTATTAAACGCCGGTTGTAAGCCGATTAAAGCGTTTCACGGCTTGGAAACTCGACTCCTGGTGCCTACGAAAAACCTGGCATCGTGTCGGTATTAAAACTCGGCGATGGTTCCGTTTATTCGTTTCGACTGCCAGTGCTTTCTGGATTGTAAATCGATCAATAGGAAATCGATAAGTCGCGAAACACTTGAGGACAATTGCAGTTCGTTAAATTACAAATCTCAGATGTTTGTGTGTTTGTGAAAAGATCGTCGGGAAGGACTACCTGAAATCTAAAGGTACGGATAGTTCTAGCGCAGAAAGTCTATCGGGATTGGAATGTCGGAGGGCCTGTTTCAGTCGAGGTGCGTTTATTTTCATGGGCGGACTGCCAACTGGTGTGGAATACGGGACGCCAACGCTGGTGCCGCTATGCCTGTCCTGAGAGTCCCGTTTTATTAACGTTCGCCGAAATTTTTCCTACGAACCGGCCGCGAAATCCCATCGACGCTCCTCATTTTATTCCCAACTGATTTTACACGACGCAAACGTTTGGATTTTTTATAAGCTTCTGATATGAAACGTTGATAGGCAAATGAATGCATGAATTCAATGAAAATTATTAATAATCCAGATTTCATGTCTTATTTCAGATCGAGTTATCTCAGCAAACGTTGGAAAAAGAGTGCTAATAATAAATAGCTACGTGCCAAAGAGTATAGAAGAAAATATCCAATTAATTATTGACGTTGACGAAAAGCTTTTTATACAGAAGTTGGAGGCATTGACGTCCTCTAGAAGAAAGATTCTATGCATTTTTCTTCTAACTTCAATATTTAACGAGTTCAGTATGATTAATCAGCATTTTATGGGTACTGACAAAATCCGACCGATCCACTGTCGAAATTGCGAACTTTTGGCAAAAAATTTCGTTTTTCCTCAATAACTCCTAAACCGTTGGACCTACGAGAAAATTGCATAGAACCTTTCTTGTAGAGGACGACGAGATCTACAATTTCTGTATAAAAAGTTTTCGCTAGCATTAATAGTTTACGAGTTATTAACGAAAAACGGAAAAACAGTTTTTTGCAAATAACTCGTTAACTATTGGTGCTAGCGAAAAATTTTTATACAGAAATTGTAGATCTCGTCGTCCTCTACAAGAAAGGTCTGATGCAATTTTCCCGTAAGTCCAACGGTTTGGGAGTTATTGGCAAAAAACGAAAATTTCGCGAAATCTTAAGG